ATCTCCCTCAGACCAACAACAAGTTCCATCAAACGGCTGTCAGCCTCCTCTAAAGAAAAGTTAATAACAAAATCGTGCAACAAACATTGAGTCATTAAGTAAGTCTGTTCTTCATGATGTGATAAAAAAATGTACGCGGTCAGTGCAAGAAAATCCATTCTTTTTGTCTTTAAGGTTAGCGGCAAGCCTAACATGCAAAATCCTTGTCACAATCAAAGAGGAAAACCATACTCTAATTAAGGATATTGTTTCATTTTTTTTCTCGGGGTGGGGGGGGGGGAGGAGGCATTTCATTTTTTAAAAATGGTATACGAACAGGCTTCTTTCAAACTCTTTAGAGAAACTGGGTTGGCTGACTTTCGTGTTTACAGCCTGAACTGTATATCAAGCTGTCCTGGAGAAACATAACGGGAGATGGTGTTGTGTGTATTCTTTTGTTGAGAGAAGCTCTTGTTCATGACAGATTCATCAGCATAGGAAGCAAAAATCTTTAAATGTAAAGGACAGTCTAAATATTTCCAATGCATCCCAAAAACTCGTATTGGTGGCTACAATGCAGCTTGGGAGAATGTTGGAAAAAAGGAAACTAGCCAAGCAAGTCAGTGTATGAACAGCCTGACACAGACATGGAACAGTTTAGCTGTCAACTGGAGATGTCAGACTCGCTGGATTAAAATGTTAATGCATGCCATCTGACAGAGGCTGATGAGTAGCCAATGTAGTCAATATGACATCTGCATTCAGTCAGGTTTATTACATATCTTGGTCAGAACAAATACTCCAAGCGGCTTACAGATTTCTGGGCTACGCTAGCGTCACTGCTAAAAGTACACCTGAATGAATTTTTTTTTCGCTCATGTTATACTTGGTCATGTCAGGCCATCTTTATCCAAGCATGTATTGCGACTGCAGAATAGGAAATGCAGACAAGTTCGCCTTAGTCTTCCTGCGATACCCAATCAACTGTCAGTATTGGATAGCTTTAATACCACTGCCTCCATTCATACTAGCAATAATGAAGGTAGCAAGCTTGTAAACCAAACCGATCAAGATAAAGACGAGAGTAAAGACAAAACAGGTTATTGTCCTTTAGATTAATGTTCTTTCTAACTATGTAAGATTATGTTTTAAGTGTCTAAACTGCACATTATCCCCTCACGGGGATATTTTTACGGGTTGCATCGATTCTAAAATGCTGCTAAATCAGATCTATACAATGAATCCTGAGCTGCAGTGTCATAGATCAATGGTCGCAGGTTTGTACCCAGTGACATCGCGTGGGTTGCAGACAAGGTGGTGCATTATCCAACGTTTCCTTTTTTGTTCTCAACTTACACGTCCTTTTAAGATTTCTAGAGAAAGTCAGTTAGAATCTGCAGGATATCCCATAATCTTCATCTATCGATATTTACAACTGTTTCTAGATGAAACGGCATAAAAGCTGCAATAAAGTGAAACAATACTAACAACTCACTATGCTCACAATCTGAGAAGATTTAAAGATTTCTAATAACTTCGTGCAGCACAAGGACTTGTTGCACAATAGAGGGAGACAACAGTTTCGATACCCATTCTTCATTCAAGTTTAAATTACGTTTAAATGGGTCTGCTGGGGCAGTTATAGTTGTAAAACGAATAGAGCATACTGTAGGATGTGGATATGCGCTACATAAATGGAATTATTAATATGTGGGGCATCTTGGTGAAATTAGGCTCTGGTCAAAATAATGAAAAGATGAATACATTAAATTAATAAACAAAGATAACGGCATTTTCCATCTGGTTTGAATTTTTTTTCTTCTAATTTTTGTTCCTAGGCTCAACATCTTTTACATCCATACAAAAACACGTATCCATGTGAATTTAAAAGAAAAAAGTTGATTAAAGGCACAGGGGGGCTGTCGTGGCCAAGAGCTTAAGGTGCTCGCCTCTCATTCAAAGGTGCCGAGTTCGAATCCGGGTAGAGGTTTTCTTTTCAAAAAATGGTCTCCTTTCAAATCTTTTCCTGCTCTCTAGCAACATTCTGCCGTCTGTTTTCGTCTCCACTTTCTACCCCCCACCCCCTCACTTCCTTTGCCCCCTCCTCTGGGCTCTTGACTTTTTCTGCAACCTTTCTACTGTTACTCCTTGGCTACATTTTACTGATGTCTTTCAGCCACACCCCTAATCTTCTGGTAGGAAAGATCTACACCTAACCTTCTCGGACAAGGGCGAAAAATATCGGAGGTCCAGTGTGCAAGTTGCGCACATTAAAAATCCCTTGGTGGTCTAAAATAGATAAGAGTAGGCTTCGGAAGCCACCCGTGCTAAATCAAAAATTTCCTACCAACTGAAATGTTTAATGTGTCCTCGCGCGCATATGACCTTGTGCAGGTGCAAGCGCCGTAAAACACTTACCAAAAATAAATAATAATAAAACACAGCAAAAAACAAAAATATCAGCTGCTCTCGTGGTCGTGAGATTACGACGTTCGCCTTTCATTCAATAGGTCTCTAACTTCGATCCGGACAACAGAGGCAGAAGTTTTTCTTCTCTTAGATTTTTCTCCTTTCACCCCCTTTCCTGCTCTCTAACAATGTTGTGTCGTCTGCTTCCGTCTTTTTGTGCCTCAACCCCGTGACCTCTCTGGGCTCCTAACTCTTTTGGCAGCCTTTCTTCGGCTACTCCTTGGCTCCTTCTTACTGTTGTCTTTCACTCGCACCCTTGATCTTAAGGTAGGAAAATCTTACACTAAACCTCTCCGATAAGGGTGAACAATCTCTGTTGTCCTGTGTGCAAGTAGCACGCGTTAAAGAACCTTTGATGGTCCAAAATCGATAAGAGTAGGCTTCGGCAGCCACCTGGGATAAATTCAAAATTTGCTACCAACTGAAAATGTTTAATCTTTCTCGTATGCTCACCCTTCCCCTCCCCCTCCACCCCCTCCGCAAAAAAAAGTAAAGATAAGAAGAAAAAAAAGAAAAGGAAAGACTGTCAACTACACCGTCACTGAGTCGAGATTTTTCAACATGAGGGTTTTTTTGGATAGAGTGTGGTCTCTAAGGCAAGCCGCTAACTCTAAAGATAGATATTTTCGTTTTTAAATTTTCAAACACTCGATAAAAGTCTTTTTGTTTCATTAACTAAAACGCATTCATCGTCTTCTCGTTTTCGTCAGTCTCGTCAATCCCTCTCACTTTCCTTCTTGTTTTTCTCCTCTTTCCCACTCTAACCTCCAACGTTTCCTTTTTTGTTCTCAACTTCCCCCGTCCGCCTCACTCTAAAGTCTCGTTCTGAGCAGAAATCACCTACATTCTTCCAAGCACCCGTTCCCCCCCTCTTCACTCCAAAAGAAAAACAAACAAAGCAAAACAAAACACTCACTGCTTCGCCTGAATCCCCTCTTCTCCGCTCTATGAAACAATCCTCCTCGACCCCTCCCGCCTTTTTCACATGACTACGCCCCCATCTGCCACGACGAAAAAAAATTATTAAAAGAGTTTTTTGAATGGAAAGTTGCAACACAAATTCCTTCCTTCTTCTTGGCATGCCTTGATATGAAAAGAAACTCTGGGGCCTATA